TTTAAATACAAGATTGGCTCATAACAGGTCTTCAAATTAATATGTTTATTAAAATTGAATTTTGTAAAAAAAGGAGAGAGATAGCGTAGACAGTGAACTTATTGACATTTATATTTCAGTGCAAGCCATCCTGTTCCTTAAATAAAACCAAATGTGTATCTTATTTAATTTTTTGAAGAAAGGACACAATTGTAGAATTCTAGAAGTTAGAATTTTTTTTAGTTTAGTTAGTTTAGGTTCTTTGGTGGTGTGTGTGGTTTTTTTAAAGGGTTGATCTTTCATTGACCGAAACCAAAAAAAAGTTCAGTCATTATTTTCAAGTGGACCAGGACTGGGGTCTTTCTCCACCCATGAGAGATGATCTCAACATCTTCAGTTTACTCTACACCATACAGCAGGGGTCAACAACTTTCAGTGTATGCACAGCTAGAGGGCTTTTCCTGTTCCTATACCACTGCTACTTTTCTTCGCTTCCCCACCATCCCCCCAGCTATGCTGGGGACACATCTTCCAGCCGGTGGGGATCTAAGCCAGGGACAGGCAGTTCTCAGCTGAGCCTGGACTACAGCCAAGAGGCAGGGGTGTAGTGGGGAAGCAGAGAGAAGCAACAGCAAGCTAGGTGCAACTTCTAGCTGCCTGGCCCCAGCACAACTCCCCACCAGCTGGAAGCAGCACCCATACCACAGCCAGGGACCAGAAGGCTGGGAGAAGTGAAAGTGCAACAGACACAAATCCCAACTGCCTGGTCCCAGTATGGGGGCTGGGACAGCTGCCCCCTGCTGATGCACTGTTGAAGACACCTGGCTCACAATGGAGGCTATGGAGTTATTCTGGTCTGCAGCTTGTAAAGGTTTGTCAGTCACTGCAGTAGACCAGGAGTTGTCAACCAGGGGTACACATACCGGCAGGGGTATTTAGAAAGGCCATGGGGGGTATGCGCAGGTGGGCAGGGAGGAAGTGTACCCTGGGGCACAGCTGTGGTGTCTCCCCATACTTTGCGTCTTACTTGGGGGAGAGGCGCGCCGGGTGCCACCAGCCCCACATGGCACACCACGGCTCCATCCCATGCTCTGCCCAGATGTGCAGTGCCTGCCCCTGCCCCAGCCCCACTTCCTCCCTTACCATGGGGGCCTCTCTTTGCCCCCACCTTAAAACCAAGAAAAAATATAAAGGGATACATGATCTGAAATTTTGAGGCAGAAGGGGTACGCTTGTTAAAAAAGGTTGAAAACCCCTGCACTAGAGAGATTTAAGCCCTTACAAAACCTGTACTGGGGCAAACAGGGAAGTCCTGATTCTCCTGACATCCAGACTTGAGCTGCACAGAAGAAGCTGTGATGCATCCAAAGGAACAGCACCACAGACATACAAAGAGACAATTCGGTGATAAACTGCCAAGTGTGGTTTTTCTGCATTCATTTATGTTTCCAGCAAACAACCATAAAAGTTCAGATACAAAGCTAGATTCTGTTTTTGGGATGTTTGTTATTCCAATTAAAATTTTCTGAAATCAAGGTTTAATTCACCTGTTAAAGTTGCACTCCAGAATTCAATTTATGATGCAGGGGTAGGTCAGCAAATCAACTACAGAAATGGAACTCAGACCTCTCCCTACTTATTTAAAAAATATGACATGATTTTGACTGTTGCTGATTTTCTAGAGAAAATACGGAGGGAAAAAAAGGAATAGGCTGGATTTTTTAATCAATAAAATAGCCAATAAAATTCTAACAGAAAAATCTTTACCTGTGATATTCCCCCCCCAATGCACTGAAATGCTCTTTAAATGCTATTCTAAAAATGAATTGCTGATAATATTGTATGAGTCAAAATAACACACTTGATTTTCAGCTGTCAGGTTGAATTTGCAGGGCCGGAAATCAGATTAAAAAAAGAGAATCTTTATTTGTATATTGAACACTCTGAATACAGAAACTACTAAGAAAAAATTAAAGATGTTGCCGAAGTCCAGAGTCACACGTTAGCTTTATGAATTGTGTAAGGTAATGATGCACAATAATAATGCATGCCAGACACAACACAGGGTGAGCTGGGGACACTGAGGCTAGGGACAGACATTGAAAAAGCCTGAGCCTGAATTCATTCAATCTTTGCAGGTTAGTCTAACCTGGCTAGGCTGAACCAGTTTGTAACCGCACAGAGAGCCCTTCTGGACTGAAGAAATGCAGGCACATGCCTGCAGTGGTTCAGGCTAGAAGCCAGGAGGTGCTACAGCAGCCCTCCCTTCCCTTCTACAGGCTGATCTGGAGTGGGGGGGGATGGCCAGGCCCTGGTGGGATGCTTTGATTATGGAGGGGTTCCCCCCCCCCAACACTGCTCTTGATAATACAGTGTTTATCAGCCCATTAAGAAAACAAAAGCTTCTCTCATTAGTTCAAGCTCTTCTTAAACAGCTTTTTCCAAGGAAGGAACATGGGTAGGAGGATGAGGGACGGGGATGTTACCAGCTGAACTGTTGATTAGTTCCAAAAAGCCCTAAGTGGACACTGTCCTGTCTGCCTTACACAGACACCTCTCAGCATTAGCTAGGATACCACATGCTGGCTGCGGTCCGTGATCTGGGAGTGGGGAATCCGTGACTGAGCATGGAGTTGGGGCGGGGGCAGGGGGAAGCCAGGCAGACCCTGCTGTGCCTGCAGTCTCTGCCGGAGCTGCAGCCAAGCAGCAGAGGAGAGGGGCCAGCACATGGCTGCAAAGCATTCAGGATGCTGGAGGGGGGGGCTCTGATTTAACTTCAATCAGAAAGGGGTCTGGGACAGACATTACATAAACCGATATGACCTAAATCAGTTGTCTGATACTACATTCAACAAGGTTTATCTCAAACTGATTTCAGCCATTTTCAAATGGGTTTATGTGTACTGAACGTCCATTCTGTTACAGGTTTAAACCAGTTTCTGATCACTTAAACCGTTTTATGTGTAATGTCTATCCCTAGCCTGAATGTAGACAGGCAACTCACCTACTCCCCAGAGTCTCAGCTTTCATTTATCATAATCATAATCAATAAATTAATAATAGTAATATTGGGGGAAAAAACGTTGAAAACCTGAACCAACTGTCACGAGTGTAATATCTGGCTGAGTTCAACAAGGAACTGGAAAAACAGCTCTGAGGGCAGGGAAATGCCACATTCATTTCACTGGGTGCTAATTCTGATGCCCATGAAAGTGTTTTAAACCAGGTGTTGGCAGCTACAGCTAACCCCAGAACCAGTCAGAAAACATGGGGCTTTAGCAAAGTTCAATGGATGGGGACTTAGGCAGTGTTTGACAAAGTGGATGTGGGGCTTCCCCTGTGGCACAGCATGAGCTTTCTTGTGGGAGGGAGAAGTGGTGGCAGTAGTAGTGGATGGACTATAGCCTATCACCTCTGACTTGAGGTAGGTCATTCCAGCCCACAGTCTGAAAACGTTGCTGACTGCTGCTTTAAAATAAACTATTAATTATTTCAACATGCTGCTTTGATAATGGTTTGTATCCAGTTTCAATCTGAATGTGTAGCAGGGCCCTGACAGGCTCGTTTTCTTTATCGAGGAAAAAAGCTTTTGCAGTACTCACATTGATGGACAGATGGATGATATATAGGTTTGGCAGAATTCAATTTTTATTTTTTTTATAATTTTGATGGATAATATATATTTTTATTTTTAAGCATTTATTTCAATTTGTATTTATTTAAATTTTCAGGATTGCACAAAATTAAAGGTGTGTGGGGCAGACAATGTACCAATGGCAGTATACTATTATTATAGTGCACTTCAACCACCCACCTTGACAAATATTGACTGTAAGACTGCCACCAGCTGAGCTGCATGTGAGTCCTGGCTCCACTTGCCTATAGCTCCCTCATCCAGTTGGTCACTTCCTCTTCCTTTGTTCCCAGTCCCCTGGGGTTTCTGGGAGTTGCAGTCCAAACTACAGTCAGCATAGTTCTGTAGGATTGCTCCCCCTGTTGTCACATACTCCATCAGCCATCATTTTTCTTACATCCCCTTTCTAAAAATTTCAATGATTAACGATGGAAATATTTTTGTGAGCGTGAGTGAAATTGACATCTATCAATGTTTACCAATAAAACTGAATCCTGCCAAGCCTTATGATACACATAACAGTATCCTTTACTGTTATATCACTCAGGATACAACAGAATACAAATCTAAAATAGGACACTACAACATGAATACTAAAATAGGGCAGGGGAAAGGGAACAACCACCATGAAGATCTGATGTTCAAGTAATAAACAGGTTGGTGAATTAATTACCATTTACATTATTAGTAGAAGTTGGGAAGAGTTAATGAAAACCAATAGGGGATTACTTATTCTCATGCATAGTGAATGAAAAACTTGGAGTCATAATTACGGAGTGAAGTCTGAAAAGCTATCCATATCATTGTAAGATAACAGTGGTTTTGTATTTGATGACATGTTCAATGTTACTGAAAGCTTAGGCACTTCTGTTTTGAAACAGTAAGTAAAGTAATGATGGTACATATCTTTCTAATCCAGAGATCTAGTAGCAATCCTTAAATTATACTATGCTTACTGAAGTCCTTGGTGCCACACAATTTTTCAGTGCATTGCACTAATGGATTTTGTTTTACATATATATGCAGCTGCTACAAACTCACTTGGTCCAAGAGACATAACTAAAGAAAACATATGCCTAATTCATGAAGACTTCCAAATACTATAAACCATGTGAATGATAGCAAAGAGTGAAATCTGAATTTGGATAATAGGATAACTTCTGATTCTTGGCATATGTAAAATTATTTGTTCACACAACTGCAGCACTGAGTAATTTGCCCGCACCACTGCCAACTTTCAACAATAATGCCTAGGCAGAATGGATAAAATGCACTGACTGCTATCTCTGTTAGTATCAAGTTTAAATCTAGCATGTGCACATACACAGTCCACACCACAAAATCTGGAACTTCAAATGAATGTGAAGCACAAAGGGATTCAACTTACAATTAAGTCTCGAACAAGTGAAACAGAGAGTAGCCTCTTGACTCCATTTTCTGCAGTTACTCCAAGCCAATTTAGTGCTGCCCAGTACCAAAGGTAGTTATGGCCTCCGTGCCAATAACTTACAAAGGCAAAAGTAATTGCTGTGGAGAATAACATCCCAACAACACTACACTGGGATCCTCCCATCGGGATGTAAATGTACCTGTAGGTGAAATGACAGATAAGTAATGTTATTAAGGGCTTTATTAAGGCCTCAGTCCTCGGTAAAATAGAAAATAAATTTCTATCTGAAAAACTCACCCCAGTTTCAGCTAGGAAGAAGACCATTTAATAAAATGTTAACACAGGGGTGTCAAATTCATCAGACCCCACAGGCCAAACAAGTGGATCTGAACTGGTCCTTGGGCCAGACTGGACTCGCAAGACTGGCCCCATGTGCTGCATGCAGTGCCCTTCAGCATGGATGCCACTACCAGCACCTGCCCAGGACCAGTCCCAAATGCAGCTGGCAGTATGTGCCCACAACTGGCCCTGTGCATTGCCTACACTGAGCACCAAGCCAGTCCCACACTCCATGTGCAGCACACGGGTCTGGTCTGGCCCACACCAAATGCAGTGTATGGGTCCAAACTGAGACCCACAGGCAGCACTGAGGACTAGATGATAGTGCTCCGTGGGCCAGACCCAGCCCATGAGCTGTATCTTTGACACCCCAGTGTTAACACATTCTATTTTACAACATGAAAATTCTGTTGTCAACAGACCTTTGCACTAAGTGAACACACAAGCTAAGCCACACTCTTACACTAAAATGGAAATAGTATTTAGTTAAAACTTGTATAACGTAGAAAATTCACAGAATCTCTCTCTCATGCATTTTGGATTATAGGCATAACTTTTATATAAAAGTATGCAAGTCAGGTTTAAAATGCATATAACTACTAACTTGTACACTTGTTTACCCATACAGCTTGATTTTTTCCCCCGCATATGATTAATGATTTTATAAATCAGTACTTACAAGCACTTTTAGATATTCACAAAAAAAGCTTTGTCTAAGTAAAGAGTGTGAACAGTTGAGATTAAATTAAAAACTAATTAATTTTAACAATTCTTACCATAAATACTTTACATGTTCTGAACAGCTCTAGCATTTAATCTTTGTGATCATCCCTGGGCATCTACTTGAATGATACCATAGAAGAAGAAAAAGCAAATCTGAAGGACAGTGCCCTGTACATAACCATTTTCAATACTGTTGGTTAATCCAGGATTTACCATCCAAAATGCAGCATAGATTCAATACAATACCAGTAGAAATAAAAAATCATAAAGTTTGACATGTTTCCAAGGAATGAAAAAAAGCAAAACAGCCACATTTCTCTCAGAGTTGAATTTCACTTGATACTAAATCAATGAAAGATGAAGGCTCTTCATTTTGAAGGACCAGGCACAAAAAAACTAGATATAGGAAACAGACTCTTATCCAAAGAAGTTGTGTTTTTTATGCGTGTGTGTGTGTTAATAGTAAGGATACACTAAAAATTATCATCTCGTTTTGGATGCCATTGGCAACCCAGTTTTGTTGCCATTCTGCCAGCATGGCATTCTATACAGATCACTGGGAATTCTTCCTATTCAGAAAGTTAAATCAATGCCATTTCTCTAGAGATAAATTTTGCTGCTTGATGATCAAATTCTGGGCTCAGAGATACTGTAATGCTAATTATAACGTGGATGCTAATTAGATAGGTGAACACAGTATTTTAAATTCTACCCAGTCACTTACGTTCCATGATAGAATTAGAGGTAATGTTAATTTCAGAAGTGAGACAATTATTTTCCAATGCTCTTTGTAGACATTTTCTTGATATTAATATACCTCTATGCATGCATAGCACTCACGACACAGAGAAAAATCATATTACATTTATATTGATTTTTAATTCACAGATTTTATAAAGTGCTTCTAGATAAATACAAAATATGTTTTCCATCATCCCTGCATATTGTTTTTCTTCCTCCTATTTTCTACTCTGATCCCATCTTTTCTACTCTAGTCTTGGCTTTTCTCATCATGTATAAAACGTATTTGAACATAACACACTTATAATTAAATTGCCACATCTCCATTTTCTGCTCTACGAAGCCATCTGTCACAGGTCTAATAGCAACCAGGTTGGCTTTGGAATCTATAAGCAGAAAAATCCCCTGCAGGGCCTTTACTACAACTTGACACAAAGGACAAAGAGGACACAGCCACAGTCCCATAAGTTGTTTCTTACACTATTCACAGGCATCCATCCAAAAGCATTACAAAGCTAATGAATAACTTTAAAGAAGTAGTGTAGCTTACTTGTCCAAACCTCCAAGGAAGGGTTTTATAAAAGCATGAGTCCCTCTCAGTTACTATTTTGTAACAAAGCTGCTATTCAGACATTCCCTTATTTCCCAGCATACCTTACCATAAATTAGGATTGATAATATGGCTGCCATAGGCAGATCTAAGATTTTGGAAAGTGGAGCGCAGGTAGTGTGGTGCATCATTGCATACAACACAATACATTATTTTTCACATAAAAATAAACTAGAAGCTTTATCAATATGCTAGGGGTCTAGGGCTATATTATTCAATTTTAGATCAAAGTAAAAACAAATATAACTTCATTGGAATGTGCACTAATTTTCTATATTATATATTTTGTATTGAGAAACAGAACAAACTAAGAAAAAACAGTAAAAAATATTTCTTTAGTCCTGTACATTTAACTGTTATAACTAAATCTCCTTCAGATTCATAAAACATAATAAAACCTTCTTGAGCATCTTGACAGTGCCTCCAATGTTACAATAAAAGTTATTTCCACACCTCAGTTAATGTTTCAGCCCCTGAGTTTATGTTTTTAGGCAGAGTTAAAAACAGACTGCAAAGCTGTGAAATGGGAGCTACATTACTAGGAAGAACTATGGGACAGCAGAATTGCAGAGGAAAAAATAGCTTGATTAGTAGAACTGTAATACCATTAAAAAGGAGAGAGGGTTGTTAACACTGTGGAATGAAGACTTTTGAAGGAATCAGGTAGATTACAATGAGCCATGAAGTCAAATGACTCCCTCACTGCTGTCTGAACAGAAATGCTGCTGCCACTGCTGGGTAGTTTGTTTTAAACTTTGGGTGGAACAGGAATCAAAAGTTGCCCCCCACCTCCCCGGCCCCAGATCCACCCCGATGGCAACCACTTTGGCTTAATCTTCTGGCTCTTGGAAAGGGACTGTTATACATTACCACTATGCAACCTCATTTATCATGCGGGGAAGAGAGATGGGTTGAGTTCCAGGCCTTTCAGTTAACAGAATCCCAACTTTAGCCCCTAAAACCAGAGTTAACAGAAAAAGTGTCCATCTAAACCCCCAGATGTCTTTCTAAAACAACCTCTCCCCTTCCCATGAAAGTATCCCATGTCTCAAGGATTCTTAGGTTGGAAACAAATGTTGCATTTGTCCTGAGACAAGCTGTACCTGTGTGTGTCCCAGCACAGAAAAGTCCTGGGATTGGTGTGTACACACATCACCCTCTAATAAGGATTTACTGAATGGCAGAATACACTGCTGCTTTTCTGACATCAATACCATGATGCCATCCCAGGAAAATCATTCACATGCACTTTGCAGTGTCCCAGGACAAACTGTTAGCACTTCTTGTCTCATTAACATTTTTAGGCTTCTGTCATGGGAGTAAGGACATGGATACCTGAATGACTACATTTCATCCCTGGATACAGTGATTTTTCTTGGAACAAATATAATGTCTACTTGTAGCCTTGGAGACAAACTGAAACAGGCTGATAATGGTTCAGGGGAGTTCCCATGAGAATTCAGAAGGTATGAACCAATATATCAAAATGGCATCATTTCTAACAAACCCAGTGTTAGCTATAGATAGATTTAACAACTGTATCCTATCAAAAGAGGCCAAGACAATGCAACTGTTAGATCTGCATGATTCTATAGTTATACAGGTGTAGCACAAACTGCTCCAACTTTAATCCAGTGTCATCCAGGATATAAAGATTTAGTTCATTTGCACTGTTTGCACAGAGTTATGCAGATGAACAAACTACAACTGTTGATGTATGTTCCCAAGCAGCAGTTCCCCCCTATCCTTTTAGAGCAGCTAAAATGTACATTTGTTTCTCCTCTTTGAAGCCAATAAACCCATATATCTAAAATCCATTTCTGTCATTATGAGTCTTCCAGGTGACCTCACCTGGTGTTGAGCTGGGCCCTCTCAACACAGATCTGCATGTTAAGTGTCAAAACAAAGATTTGAATTTTCCATATGACAAAGTCCTTTTCCTGATAGTAAAACAGAATGGAGACTTTTATAATCTCTTATACTGGCCTCCTATGCTGCTGTTAGCACAAACAGTATATTGTCATTAAAATGGACATTGCCAGTAATAAGCTCATAAATGCCAGTTTTAATTAAAAACTGTAATGGCAATTACAATTCAATTTAGGTGACCACAAATGATGCTTACCCAGTGAGCTTTCATATTGTTGCACTGAGAAAAATAGATACCATTTTCCTACCATAGGTTGTAATGCCAGCAGCTGTTTAAGTAAACCACATTAGATTCATTTGGTCTGTGAAACTCAGGTGAATTTTCAAAGTTTCAGCTCTGCAATTCCTGGTGATTAGAATGGGAGACATATGGCTACAGCTTACCGAACAGCTTTCACTGTGAACCTTTAAAACCTTGCATGGCTCTTACACAAAGCATGTGAACCAAAATAAGTCTTCTCTGTACAGTTATTTAACCTTTCATTAGAGATCTGTATGGTGCCTGGTCATATTGTAGAAGGAAGGGTAAAGGAAGAGAGGACACAGTCTCTCCCACTCCCTAGCGTTGTTTTGATTTTTGGAAAATTACAGGAAGACATTCTTGTATAAATTGTGGTTAATGCGTCTAGCAGTATCCCCCAAACTGTCAGACATGATGCCTGACCAAGCCTCTACCCTCCAGTGGGTCTGCTAGCATTTTTAAGCAGGTATTAAATGAGACAATACCACCTGAAAATTATTAAGCACTCCTCTGTCTGCCTCTGCTTTATTTTCAGGTCTATTCCAAACCTAAGCGGTACAGAACAGCTCAAATAACCTCTGCTAACATGCTACAGAATTAGCTTGTTCAAAACATG